CAGACATCATCAGTTTTTTCTCTGGGGAGGTATAGCATTTTTCATCATAGTTGTCTTGGATCGTTGTATTGCTGATAATAGCTAAGCCATTCACAGTTGATCATCTTATAATATTGCTGTTACTTTGTATACAGTACATTTCACTTTGCATCGGTTCATGTAAGTCTTTCCAGGTTTTTCTAAGAGCATCCTGCTCATCATTTCTTATAGCACAATAGTATACCATCATAATCACATGCACAATTTGTTCAGCCATTCCCCAATTTATGGGCATCCTTTTAATTTCTAATTCTTTGCAACCAAAACAGAACTGCTATAAGTATTTGTGTACATACAGGTCCTTTTCTTTTTGTTTTTTATCTCTTTTGGGATACAGACCTAGCAGTGGTATTGTTAGATCAAAGGGTATGCATGGTTTTATAGCCCTTTGGGCATAGTTCCAAATTGTTCTACAGAGTGGTTGAATTGGTTCACAATCAGAAGTTATTTTTTTTAATTACTTTCATTACTTATTTTTAATGTTCATTTTTTTTTGGAGGCAATTGAGGTTAAGTGACTTGCCCAGGGTCACACAGCTAGTGTCTGAGACCAGAATTTAACTCAGATTCTCTTAACTCCAAGGCTGGCGCTCTGTTCTCTAGAGGTGAGGAATAGGGAACAATGATTGTAAAGAGAAGGTGACTTGACTCTCTCCTCTCCTCTAGGAAGCATTATCTATGAAAAGCATCTCTGAGGCAGCTGGGCACAATGTTGCCAGGTGCCATACCTCTGTTATGATACAGAAGTTATCAGGTAATAGGATTTGAGATGGGGTCGTGATGAGAGTTTGAAATAAGCGTTTAGGTCACTTAACCTCACTGGGTCTCAGTTTTTTCATCTCTATAATAAGGGGACTGGACTAGATGGTGTGGATGTTATTTCTGGATATCATTCAATCAGAGGTTGGAGTCAGAGATAGTTTTCCCACAAAAAGTCTAGTGGGGCTAGGTGGAAGCTGAACAAAGGGAGTTACATTAGAATAAGAAAACACTCTTGGTGTTGAATAGACCAATAGGCAGGAAATCAGTTCTTAGGATAGGTATAGATTAATATCTAAAGAGGTGTGTTCCCAAGTAATTGCCAGGGGTCGCCAAATTGTGGGGAGTGGGAGATGTAATTAGGGTTGGAGACTCATGTGGGGAAATTAGGCGTTTTGGATAGGCTATAACCTCTATAGTACCCAGCAAATGGGGAAACAGGGGAAGGAAATTTGAATGGGGAATAGGGAATAAAAAGGTATGTCAATACATGCGCTCTCACATGTGTGCTCTCACACATACAGGATCCCAGCCTTCCCAGGTATACTGTTGTGCTATAAGAAATGATAAGCAGGATGCTCTTAGAAAAACCTGGAAAGACTTACATGAGCTGATGCAAAGTGAAATGTACTATATACAAAGTAACAGCAATATTATAAGATGATCAGCTGTGAATGGCTTAGCTATTATCAGCAATAAAGCTTTTTCCTGACTCAACAATGGCTTCATGGAATTTGTGGTATTGACATAGATAACAGATGGCCTTTGACGTCTCTTCTAGTTCTGAATCTATGATCCTATAATAAGGGAGAGCCACACCAGGGGTCAAGAGATCTCAGTTATTCGTGTTGGTAAAGACTTCGTCAGTACCCATGATCCCTGCCCAGGACCCAGAGTGTGTGAGCCATTAAGAGACTGATTTCTTGTCTAGCTTACCCTATCTGCCCCCTCCTCACATCTTTCCCAAAACAGGGTACCTTGGAGTTCTAGGAACCAAGATGGTGGAGTAAGCAGTAAATCACTGTAATTCTCCCATATTCACCTCCAAAGAACCATAAAATAGTACCCTGAAACAAATCCTGAAACAACAGAACCAGCAAGAAAGCAATCTATTTTTAGCCTAAGAAACTTGGAAGATCTCCAAGAAAGATCTGTCTCACTCAAACAAAAAGGGAATGCGGTCCAGGACAGGAAGAGCCTCAGTAACTCAGCAGCAAACCTCACCTCAGCAAACCAGCCCTGAGCTTGAGTCCCAGTGCAGTGGAGCAGGCAAACCCCAACACCAGGACCCCTACATGTCTCAGCATAGCCAGGGGAATGGGCAGTTCCAAGAGCCACCATGTGTTTCAGCCTCTGGCAAGCAGGCAATCTCCAGTGGCCAGACAGCCATTTGCTTCAGCATGGCCCTGGGCAAATAGGTAACCTTCAGTGGCCAAATAGCCATCTGCTTCATTGTAGCCCCAGAGAAATACCCCACCAGCCTCAGCACACACCAGACACAAGTACTAGGATCCCAGCTCAGCACCAGGTAAGCTGTCAGATATCTATGGCCTCCAGCAGTGCCAGCCACTCCCCACCCCATCCCCTCAGCACAGCACTGGACACTGAGGGCCCCCCATAGGCATCAGGGCAACATCAGTGTGGCACCAGATAAATAGCCAGGGCCTGCAGCCCTTGGCACAAGAAGCCTGAGACAGTGCCCCTTCCTCCCTGGGAGGGAAGAGCTCAAATTCAAAAGAAAGGAAAAAAGCCAAAAAAGATGAGCAAAAAACAGTAACTACAACAACAAAATAATCTGACCATAGAAAGTTATTATGGTGACAGGGAACATGAAAACACAGACTCAGAAGAGGACAGCAATGTCAAAACACCTATGAGCAAAACTTCAAAGAAAGATGGGAAGTGGTCTCAAGCCCGGAAAGAACTCATGGAAGAGTTCAAAAAGGAGCTTCAAAATCATGTAAGAAAGGTAGAAGAAAAATTGGGAAGAGAAATGAGAGTGATGCAAGAAAATTATGAAAAAAGAGTCAACAGCTTGGAAAAAGAAAACAACTGCTTAAAAAGTAGAATTGGCCAAATGGAAAAGGAGATGAAAAAATCCACCAAAGAAAACAACACCTTAAAAAGAACAATTGGCCAAATGGAAAATAAAGTATAAATGCTAACTGAGAAAGACAACCCCTTAATTCAGAATTGGGCAAGTGGAAGCTAATGACTATTTGAGACATCAAGGATCAATCAAACAAATTCAAAAGAATGAAAAAATAGAAGAAAATTTAAAATACCTCATTGGAAAAACAACTGACCTAGAAAATAGGTCTGGGAGAGACAATATCAGAATCATTGGATTACCTGAAAGTCATAATCAAAAGGAGGACCTGAACAGCATCTTTCAAGAAATTATCAGGGGCAACTAGGTGGCACAGTGGATAGAGCACCGGCCCTCGAGTCAGAAGGACCTGAGTTCAAATCCAGCCTCAGACACATGATACTCACTAGCTGTGTGACCTTTGGCAAGTCACTTAAACCTGATTGCCTCACCAAAAAAAAAATTTATTTTTAATTAAAAAAAGAAAGAAATTATCAAGGAAAACTGCCCTGATATTTTGGAATCAAAGGGTAGAATAAGGATTGAAAGAATCCACTAATCACCTCAGGAAAGAAATCCCAAAATAAGAACTCCAAAGAACTTTATAGCCAAATTACAGAACTATCAGGTCAAGGAAAAAATACTGCAAGTGGCCAGAAAGAAACAATTCAAATATTGGGGAGCCATAATCAGGATTGGACAGGACTTAGCAACTATAACATCAAAGGATAAAAGATCATGGAACATGATAGTCTGGAAGGCAAAAGAGATAGGATTACAACCAAGAATCACCTACTCTGCAAAATTAAGTATAATACTTCAACGGAAAAAAAAGGTCATTCAATGAAATAGAAGGATTTCAGGCTTTCATAAGGAGAAGATCAGAATTGAGCAAAAAAACCTGAACAATATCAAGACCCAAGAGAAGCCTAAAAAGGGAAAAGAAAACATAAGGGATTCAATGGAGCTGAACTGTTTACATTCCTACATGGGAAGATGATATTTGTAATTCTTAACAATTGTACCACTAATAGTACAACTAGAAGGAATATACATAGACAGAGGGTATGGGTATAAGGTAAATTTGAGGGAATGACATAAAAAAATAACTAAGGGATGAGAAAGAGGAGTACACTGGGTGCAGAAGAAAGGGAGAGATAGAATGGGGTAAATTTCTTCACATGAAAAGGTGCAAAAAATCTATTACAGTAGAGGGAAAAATGGGAGGGTAGGCAATGGGCATTGCTTGAACCTTACTCTTATCAGTATTGGCTCAAAGAGGGAATAATATATACAATCAATTGAATATAGAAATCTATCTTAGCCAACAGGGTAGTAGGAGGGGAGGAGATTAAGTAAAGGGAGGGTCGGGCTGACAGAATGGAGGGCAGATTGGGGGAGGTGGTAGACAGAAGCAAAACAGGGTACTTTGGCACAAGGTAAGCCAGACCTAGAAAAAATGGAGGGAGATGGTGGACACGTTCAAAAGCCCAGATCTTTCTGCTGCATTCCTTGGGAATCACTCCTCCCAGGTCACAGCTAATTCTCACTCATATGCTAAGATTTCCCCACAGGCTTGGTTTTCCTAGCTCCCACTGGTATATTGATGCAAAGCACCCCCTTCTCTCCTTCCCACTCAACACATCTAGCCTTTGACTCCTCCTATTCCCATTCCTATTTTCTTACCTGGTGACACCACCTTAAGTGCCATAAAACATCTCAAAGTCCAGGGCCCGTGGTTGTTACCCCCCTCCTCCCATTGCCCCTCCCTAGCTAGACTTTGTCCCTTATAGATTTTTCTTCTCTCTCTGGTGCTAAAACACAACACATACAGAGCTGGAGACAGGTAAGGACTCTTGGGACAAGGGGCACTGTGACCACATATTTGTTTCTCTCCTGGCTTCGGGGACTCCCTGAGGTCAGGAACAGAAAGCAGCTAGCTTGACTTGAAGGAACCAGGGCTGGCACCATCGGGCACTTTCTGGGCCACTGGAACATCCTCAAGTGCCTAACAAGGCCTTCGGTGGATTCTCTAGCACTGCTCCCACCTCACCCACGTACCCTTACTTCTCCCCACAGCTCAGGCCCTGGCCAGGCTGGCACAAAAACCAATCACCAGGTGAAGAGACAAGGGCGACCAATTCAAGAATGGTAGGTGTTAAGAGTCAATGGAGGTGGGGAGGTAGTCCAGTTAGGCATTGCCTTCTCCAGATAGCATTATGGTGAGAAGCCCATCTAATGGGTTCTTCCTCTTGAGATGTGCTCCGCTGGGGATAGGGGCAGTGCTGAGGGCCCAAGTGGATGAAACCCTAGAGGACTGCACCCTTTTGATCCTTTCAGTATCCCATCTGTTTCCTCTCTGCCAGTTTCTAAACAGGTACATCGGATGGGGCTCTGCTTGTAGGGGTTGCCATAGTTTTCATGTTCCTGTTAAGCCTAGTCTCAACAATCCCTCTCCTACACTTTGAAGGGGACTCAGGTCACACCAGGCAGCAAAAGGATAGGGTCTGCCTCCCTCCCCAATCTTCCCTCTCCTAGTGCTTGGGTAAATTGCTCCCACCTTTTTGCCCAGGAGCTGGGAAGACTGGAAATCCCGGCTGAGCTGTCTGCTCTGCTGAAGACAGCTGAAGGTGAGTTCTGAATAAGCTTTCTTTCTTTTATTGGAGAGTTGAGAGACTCTTGGGTTTTGACTATTGTATCCATTGTTGACTAAGTCACTTTGTTGGTTTTGTTTTCATTTTTTTTCCTTTGTTAGAAGGGACGGACAGGGTTGGAGGGGTGGCAACTATAGCTATGATATAAAAAGCAAGGCATTAGTAAAACTTTACGAATGCTTTTTTAAAAGGTGGGGGGAAAGAATCCCCACCCCTGTTACACTATCTGACGTACTCACTTCTCCCCACTGGGTGTGTAGGCAGCATTTGGGGTCTGCTTTGTCCACTTGGCTGATGCTCTCACCGCCGTGTGCCTGTCTGAACCCCTCCCTCAAGTCCCTCACCCACCTTGAGTGGTCCTACTTCCTTTCCCCAGCTGGCGTTGCAATGATGTTTCGTTGTAATTAATGACTTTGCGTTGGTGGTGAGGGGCTGGAGAAGGATCCTAGGAATAGGCAAAAGCAGGAAGGAGAAAGGGGAGATATCAGGAGCCCCCTGTGCCTGGCCTCACAGTTCTGGGATGTTGCTAGGTCGTCAGCATGTCATGGCAGAAAACATCACAGAAGCCCTTCCCCCAGAGGTCACAGCTCAGGAAGAACTGGCTCTCCCTCCTGACATTGATAGATTCCCCTTTTCCAGCTTCATCCCAGAAAACTTTCAGGTACTGCTTGCCTCTTCCTTGCCCACTTGCCTCTATTGGTTTCATCACATTCTGTACATTCCAACTACCAGCTTATTTGCTGTTCTCCCAACATGATGTTTTTGCATCTCCTGTCTCCATTCTGCCCTGGTTGTCTCCCGTGCTTTCCTCACCTCTGCCTCCTGCATTCTCCAGCTCCCTTCAAAACTCAGTTCCAGTGCTAACTGTGGTACCCCTCAATTATTAGTGCTTTCCTTCCAATCCCCACCCCCCAAAAATTACTTTTTATTTACTTTTGTATTAATTTTTCTGTGTACATATACCCCCAGTAGACCATAAGCTCCTTGAGGGCAGAAACTGCATTGGTTTTTATCTGTGTATCTCCAGAGTCTAACACAGTGCCGTGGGCACGCCTGGCACATAGCATAAATGCTTATCAAGTTGAATTGAATTTTAAACCCCTTTCCCACATTTATGTTACCCTCAGTTTTTCTTTTGTGTGATTCTTCACTTTTGGCATGATTCTCCCTCTGGGCAGTCATCTCAGATTGTTTTTACTTTAGCACCCACCATACCTAGCTACCAACACATCCTCCTTTTCAGAAGCCAACCCTGCCCACTCCAGGACAGCCGCTGACGTCACCTCTGACTCATCTGGAAGGGGTTAGCCCTCAGCTTGCCCTGGATGTCAACAAAGTGGTAAGTGAGAGATGGTGGCTAGGAGGGAAGAGGGTCTAAGTACCACTGGGTCAAGAAGCCAGGGTGGAGTGGAAAGGGCTGCCAAGAGCCCAACCCTCCTCTATAGGATTACATGTTCTCTGAGCACCTAAGGTCTTCCCCAGTCCCTCTTCATAGGATCATCTCTCCAGAACTAGAAATAACTTTACAAGTCACTTTGTACAACATTTTCATTTTACAGATAAGCAAAGGGAGGTCTAATGAGGATAAGGAATTGCCCTAGGTCGTTCATATGACTGAGCCAGGATTGGGACCAAAGTCCTTTTGACTTACTCCATTGTTCTTTCCAGTACACCTCACAAAATCTCCTGATTTCCATCTCTGACTCTATGTTCTCCTCTAACAACAACAGCAACAAAACAGCCAGCATTTATATAGCACTTACCATGTGCCAGGCACTGTGCTAAGGGCTTTTACAAATATTGTCTCATCTGATCCTCACAACAACCCTGTGAGGTAGGTGCTATTACTATCCCCATTTTACAGTTGAGGAAACTGAGGGAAACAGAGGTTAAGTGACTTGCCTAGGATCACACAGCTAGAATGTACCTGAGGTGGGATTTGAACTCAGATCTTCCTGATTCTAGGCCTAGCACTTTATCGCTATCCTGAAGTCAACTTTCACTCCTGTCTCTCAATTCCTTTGTGTCAATAGATGTTACGGCTCCTGGGTGACCTATCACTTCAGTCCTGGCAGGAACAGACCATGGGCACTTATTTGGCCCATAAGGGACAGCGCCACCCCGCCCTGAGGAATGAGATCTTTTGCCAACTTGTGACCCAGCTGTGGCACAACCCGGACGATCAGCAGAGTCATCGAGGCTGGGCACTCATGGCCATTCTGCTCAGTGCCTTCCCCCCGACACTGACCCTTCAGAAGCCACTGCTCAAGTAGGTTGGAGTTGAGGTGGCCTCTGGGAGTCTGGACAGGGGACACAGGGCACGAGGAGACATAGGGAGAAGAAAGGCTAGGGGCTTATAGGATATGAGGAACAGAGTAGGAAGAAGGGGAATGGCTATGTAAGGGAACAAGGCCCAGGAAGGACATGGCTTCCACAGAGCCTGATTCCTTCCTGCTATGTTTGGAATAATTTCTATACAAGCCAACCCAGGGGCCAGTGTCTCCCACCCCGGGCTCTTTCTTCTCCCTGTAGGTTTGTGTCTGACCATGCTCCAAAGGGTATTGCAGCTGTGTGCCAGCACAAGCTCTTGGGGGCATTGCAACAGTCCCAGCCAGAGGTCGACAGTGTCCGCGCCTACCCACCTACACAGCTGGAGTGGATTTCAGGGTGGCGATGTGGGCGTATGGCCCTCGATGTCTTCACCTTCAGTGGTAAATGGGACTGAGCATCCTCCTTCCTCAGCTCCTCTCCCCCAAAGTCACTACTGGAGTCAAACCTTCCTTTCCCAAGACCTACTTCCCAATACCTTCCCTATCCAACCCCCCTTCTAGCCCTTAGTTGTGTTCAGTCTGTACGGATTCTCTTCCCTCCTTCCTGGCCTTTGATCTTACAAAGTATTGGTACCCAATACCCTCGCTCTCCCCTTGATGGCCCCTGGTTCCTCATGGTGATCCTTACTCATCATCCACATAGCAATCACCGTGGTGACAGTTGGGTAACGCCCTCCTTCACTCTATGTCCCCTCAACCTTCTAACCCCTGAGCTATTCCATTCTTGCAGAAGAGAGATACTCAGTAGAAGTCAAATCCTGGACCGCAGCAGAAGAATTTGCTGGGTGGATCCTACGAACCAGGTAAGAGAGCCTCGGGAGCCTGACGTGGGGAGGTGGGGATGGGTTAGGCGAGGGCGTTGGGGCTACTCGGAATTTCTCTCTTCCTCCTCCACTTCTCTCAAGCTTTTTCCTTCCTAGGTCACCTGCTGCCTTGGGAGTGAGTCTTTAAACCGTTCTCACTAGACAAGGCTATGGATAAAAGGAGACAATGTTCACTCCCCAGGGCATATATGTCAGTGATTTCATGTACATATATACATATGGGAAAATGTCTAAAATGTGTATCTGTATGTGTATGAAGTAATATACCTTAGGTGCTTCGTAAACTTTAAGATAGATGAGAGTTATTGTTTTGTGTGTGTGTGTGTGTGTGTGTGTGTGTGTGTGTATAACTGAGCACGTGAGGCTTTGTGTAAAAGTGTCTCATGTGTGTATGTACTTATATGAAATAAAGTGTTAAGTGTTTTGTAAAACTTGTTTGATAAATGCAAATTATTTTAAAATTAATAAGCATTTATTTTCTCTCCCTCCCACCTCTCACATTAAAACAGAACAAAACTCCTATAACAAATAAGCATAGTCAAAGAAAACAAATCCCGAATGTGAGTTATTTCTTATGGGAGTCTTAGTGTGTGTGTAAATGGTTAGCAATTAACAAGTATTTATTAAGGGTTTTGTATTTCTTGCCTTCTCAATGGAAGGGAGAGGAATGGGGGGGAGATAATCTGAAACTGATAATAAAATTAAATTAAATTTTAAAAAATAAAATTAAATAATTTAACATAATTTAAAACAATTAAAAATTTAAACTTCTAAATTACTTTTAAATACTTTTAAATTTAAGACTTTTAAATTAAAAAATTTAAATTTAAAACAATTTTTAAAAAATTTAAATAATTTAAGATAAATTAATTTAAAATAATATTAAGCCCTTTTATGTGCCAGGCACTCTGCTAGGCTCTAGGGATATACAAAGACAAAAACAAAACAATACTCACCCTCAAATAACTTATATTCTATAGGAGGTAGCTTGGCATAGTTGATAGAGAGTTTGAATCCTGCCTCAGACCCTTAGCAGCTCTGTGACCCTAGGCAAGACATTCAGCCTGTTTACTCATTGGTAAAATGAGGGAATTGGGTTCAATGTCTCTGAGGTGCTTTCTAGCTCTAAATACTATGAACCTATTATGTCTCCTCAAAATAAATAGAAGATAATCTTGGAGTAGGAAAGGCCCTAGCAGTTGGAGAGATCAGGAAATGCTTCCTGTAAGGGGGAAAAGTTCAGCTCATCTTTGAAGGAAACTAAAGATTCTAAGAGATGGAGATGAAGAGGGAAGGCATTTCAGGCAAAGACAGAGAGGGGATACAATATCACATGTGAGGAAGAGCAAGAGCTCGATTTGGTTGACCCAAAGTGCATGTTGGGAAATACTGATGAAATAATAAGACTGGAAAGATAGACTACAGCCAGATTGTGAAGGACTTGAAATGACAAGAGTTTGTATTTGATTCTAGAGGTAATACAGACTCACTAGAGTTAATGTTTAAAATTTAATTTAATTTTTTCAATTAATGAAAACTCATTTTTTCTCCTTCCCATCTCCTCCTGTAGGAAAAAGAAAAAACAAAAAACAAAATCCTTATAATAAATATGCATAGTTAAGCAAATCAAATGCCCTCATAAGCCATTTTCAAAAATCCGTGTCTCATTCTGTATGTATGTATTATGGATGTCTCACTCTGAGCTTATCATCACCTTCCTCTCTGTCAGGAGATGGGTATATGTGTGTGTATGATATATATAAGTGTGTATGTATATATATACATATATGTATATATATACATACACACACATATATGAATGTATACATAAAATATGCTGCATCATGGGTCTTGGTTGGGCATAGCATTGATCAGAGTTCTTAAGTCTTTCAAAGTTGTTTGGCTTCACAATATTATTGTTAGTGTATAATTTGTTCTCCTGGTTCTGCTCACTTCATGTTGCATCAGTTCATACAAGTCTTCCCAAGATTCTCTGAAACTGTCCCCTTCATCAATTTTTATAGCACAATAGGATTTCATTACGGTCAGATAAAATAATTTGTTCATCCATTTCTCCACTTGATGAGTACTCTCTTGGCTACCAGTTCTTTGCCACCACCAAAAGAGTTACTATAAATACTTGTGTCCATATGGATCTTTCCCCTCTTTCTGTGGTTTGTTTGGGGCATAGGCCTAGTATCCACTTCAGTTTGTTGAACAGAGGAATGACATGGTCAGAACTGTGCTTTAGAAATCACTTTGGTGGTTGTCTGGAGGATTGATTAGACAGAGGAGAAAGTTTAGGCCAATACAAATGGTGGAATTATTCTCCTTGTGGTATAATACTGACCACTAACTGAGAAAAATCCAATAGTAGTAGTGGAAGGGTGTTTGTATGCCAAACATGCGCTAATCATTCTCATATGAGAATTCTTGGGGAATATTAGAGGTAGCCAGGTGGTACAATGGATAGAGTGATACACCTGAAGTCAGAAGATCTGAGTTTAAATCCTGCCTCTGATTCTTACTGATTCTTTGATCCTGGGCAAGTCATATAACCTCTCCCAGTCTCAGTTTCCTCACCTGTAAAATGGGGATAATAATAGCAGCAACATCCCAGGGTTAAAACAAGGCTTTGTAAACCTTAAATTGCTATATAAATTCTAGTTATTATTAATCTTAATGGGCTCTTATAGACATTACTAATCAAGTGGTGTGTGTGTGTGTGTGTGTGTGTGTGTGTGTGTGTGTGTGCAGGAGCTGAACCAGAGTTTTGCCACAGCCTTTAATTGACCCCACTTTCTTTCTTTCTTTCCTACTCCTATCCTTATCACAGGGGCATAGAGCAGCTCATACGAGGCTGGTCAGTGTCTCTGCTCTCTGGAGATTCCTGGCAGGATTTGGCAGGCTGTGACTTTGTGCTGGATCTGATTGGACAGATTGAGGATTTAGGGGACCCCAGTGCCCCTGGCAGCTACCCCATCACCCCCCACAATGGGTGAGTGCTTCCCCTTGCCCCATCTAACTCATCTTGCCCAGGATGGGCATGGTAAATCCACTTCCCTTCCTATTTCTACCTATGATGTGACCCTTGTTTCCTACAGGACTTCTGAAGACATCCCCTCACCCCCAGGAATCCAGGCTCCTGCCTTGGCTCCAGAGCCACCTCCAGGTCCTGCCCCATCACTGCCTCAAAGGAGCTACACAAGTGAGGACTAGAATTGGCTTCCTGAAGCAGAGCAAGAGAGCCGTTATTACAGGACAGGAGATGGAGGGCAGTGAATTTAGAGAGATGGGTTGGGAAGCCATGCTAGGCTGAGGGGTGGTGGGCCTGGAAGTGGTTTTAACGATCCCGGTTAACTCTCTTCCCAACAGGGCAACCCCAGAGCCCTAAGAGCTTGGATGGTTTCCTGGACAACCTCTTTGAGCCTGTGCTCTCCCCAGGGTCCAGGGTGAGTTCTACATGCTTGTCTAGAATCCGCCAGCTCCCTTAGTGCTTTCCGGGCTCCTCTTTTCCATCTTGATCCATCCTCCAATTGTCTCCGTCTATCTTCTCCTCTCCTGCCTCTTCCCCCTCCAGTCCTCGCACTGGTCTCGCTCCATAGCCCCAAGGGCCCTGGTCTCTGATGTGCTGTTGGCTCTTTGTCACAGCAGGGTTTAGAACAAGCCAGGGCACTGAACAGCCAAATGAAAGGTGGCGGAGGCATTGGGACTCAGCAAGGAGGCTACCCCATGAGTGAGTACAGCACTTGATCCTGGCATCCTTGCGCACACCCAGACCTGGGAAAAGCAGAGGTGACGGCAGTTTTTACAGGCGTTGGCATCTTGATGCATGCTCTCACTCATTGAGGGCTGCCTCTGTGGGTGCTTTTTCTTAGATTCTAGCCACCTCACTAAACCCCGAGCTGGGGTTTGCCTCAGTGTTAATCAGTAGGTCTAGGATTGTCTGATCCCTTTCCCTGAGGTCTTCCTCAGAGGCTTTGAGTATCAGGGACCAGTGGGTGCCATGCAAATGACCACAGGTTGGCAGAAGAGGTCTGCTTATGGTCTTGGACACATGGCATGAGGTCACCGAGTACTAGGGAAATTGAATGCCAGTAGAGAGTAAACACCTGAGTGACTGGGCAGCTCTTTTACTTGGTTCTCTTAGGTCCCAGTTTTCTGGGCTGTCATTCCAGCACTAAGAATGTAGGAACTGCTCCCCAGACACAGGGAAGGGATTGTAGTAGATACATATCCTAAATGCCTACCCATGGGATAGAAACAAGATGTCTTTTCTCCTTTCCTCCCCCAAGCTCAAGTGTATCCAGGGATGATGCAGGTGCCAAACTACCAGCCTGCCATGGGGGCAATGATGCCAGCACCTGTGCCACTCATGCCAGCAATGCCATCAATGCCACCCGTGCCTTCAATGGGTGGGGTCCCAGCCATGCCAGGTATAGTGGAGAGAAGTAGGAAGACCTAGTATATAGAGTGGGTGTAGGACTATTGTCTCCTTCTCTAGGATGATGACCAAAACACAGGTGTGCCTTTTAGAGGAGGGAAGGTGATTCCCATTGGGAGCAGGGTGGATAATGAGCTTGGAAGACCACTTCTGCCTATCAGGGAGATAGCCACAGTGGTGGTTTGAGAGTGGAGACTAGGACCAGTTGAACTCTGGGTTTGAAACTCACCTCTGACATTAATTGACTGTGTGACCATGGGTGAGGGATTTAACGTCTCTGATGCCTCATTTTCCTCATCTGTAGAGTATGGATAATGATCCCTGTAATATCCATGTTCCAGGATTGTTGCAAGGATCAGATGAGATGATGTATGTAAAGTCATTTGTGAATCTTAAAGCACTGTATACATTTTGCCTATCATTGTTGTGTCCTCTTTGCTTCTCAGGCATGATGATGCCATCCCAGCCCCAGCCAATGGTGCCCACGCTCAGCGCCAGAGAGCTGGCTGCACAGCAGCAAAGCTTTATCAACCAGCAGGCCATGTTCTTGGTGAGGGCTAGAGTGGGCAGGATGTATGGGGAGGGGGCATGATATAGCAGCAACATCACTGCCTCTGGAGTTAAAGGGCCTGGGTTCGAATCCTGACTCTGACAGAAACTACCTCTACAACATTGGCAAGTGATTTCTCCCATATAATGAATGTATTAGAATAGATGACTTCTAAGTCACTTGTTCTATGAATGCTGCGCTGGTGGGGATCGGGGGACAGGTTTGTTGGAGAAAGGGTTCTGCTTAGTTTTCTTATTCAGGTGTGGATACCCAGAAGGATTTTTTCTCTCACCAGGGTTGCTCTTTCCGTTTCCCTCCCACCTAGGCTCAGCAAATGACCACCCAGGCCATGACTCTTTCTCTGGAGCAGCAGGCCCAAATGCAGCGCCTGACCCAGGCCTCCACATATGCACCCCAGCCCACTCCCAGCACTCCCAAACCGAAGAAGTCCCCAGCTGTTGTCAGCAAAAGCTCTCCTGTTCCCAAGGCACAGCCCCAAAGGAGCTCAGAACCGGTACACACCTGAGGGGGATAAATGACAGTTCTCAGGAGGGATAGGCTGAGTCTCATCTCAAGTGAAGCATAGCAAAACCAGGCAGGTGCAGTGTCAAGGATAGAAACGGGGACAGAGGATTCTAGGATCTTAGCATTTGGGGGCAAACATCAATCAGCCAAGAATGACAAAAGAAGAAAGAGGGAGGGAGAGGCCAACATGTCCCAGCTCCCGGTTGGAGTGGAATGGGTGATGAGCATGGCAGAGTTCGGCCAAGGTATAGCAAGGGTCTGCACAAAGTGGGAGGAAGCAGTCAGTATCTTGTTCCCAACAGGTAGAGATTCCAGAAGATGATGAGGAGAAACTAATGCAACCCAATACCTTCCAGGAGAAACGGGATTATTTCCAGAGGATAGGTAAAAGATCCCAGACAAGGGAAATGGCCCCACAGGCAGGGATAGTGGACGTTTGAAAGGGTGGAATCAGAGGCTGGAACTATGGCACGACTTCTCTAAACTTGTGTCATTCTGGCACAATCATGCCAAGGCAGAGGAAGTCCAGGTCCTCTTTCTTTGCCTGGTGGGGCATGGTAGATTGGCAACAGGGCCCTTATTTGACTCAAGGCCAGGACCAGCATCAGCAGGAATGGAAGGAGGTGTGGTGGTAATGGGGGTGTTGAAGGAAGGAGGCAGCCATATGATGGACAGAGCAAAGGAGATCGGGATAGTGTCAACTCTGGTACCTCCTTGCAGGGCAAGAACCTATTTGGTTGAAGAAGGTGAAGCCACTTGCAAAGGTGCCCATCCCCCAGAGGGAGATAGAGCAAGAAGAGGAGGAGGAAGAAGAAGAGGAGGACAAGGAGGAAATCAAAGGTAAGGATGATATTGTAGAAAGAGCCCTAGTTTGGGAAGTGGGAATCTTGGGCACTAACTCGTGAAACTTTGGGCCTTGCTCTCTTCCTTGGACTACAGGATGTCTAAAGTCCCCTTTAGTTTGGACATCCTATGGTTCTGTGATACCAGTACAGCAAGGTAGGTGGGTAGGCACTTACTATGTGCCAGGCACTGTGTTCTTTTCATTAATTAATCAAATGACTTAAACCCTCATCCCAGTTCATTAAATATTATTTATTAAATACACTGAAGAAGCCTCCTTTCCTAGTAGTTATTCATATTCAATTTATTAACAAATGAAATTAGCAATAAAAAAAAGCAGAGGTAATGAAATACAATCTGTTGGCTATGACAATCACAGTCACCTTAAACCCTCACTATAATGGTAGGTGATTTCACTTCCAGAAACACAGTTTCACTATTCAGTTCATTCCAAATACTAATTGAAGGCTCTTAAGAATCTTCTTCATATTTCTCCTTAAGATAAAGGCTAAATTCACTCTTTTCAGGAAATGTTAGGTTAGTCCTTTTTTCTTTTTCCCCTTTTTCAGTCATCACAGGAAAATCTTTCTAGAATATTAGCTGCTCTTCACAGACTGTTCTTAAGATTCTCTTTATAATGTTTCTTCTTAACATAAACAAATTTTTAGCTCTGACAAGGCAGAAGCTAAAAAAAGAGAAGCTAAAAGGGAAACCCTTCTCCACAGATTCCTCATAGATACTCATACATATCTAACTATCCTTGTCTCCACAGAGAGAAAAAGTACCTCACAGCAGGACGTTTCTTTTTTTAAAAATTCGATTTTTAATATCTTTTGCTTTTATATTGCCTACATTTCCCCCATGTACACTTCCTCTTCTTTCCTCCCAAAGAACCATCCTTTATAATGAAGGATTTTTTTTAAAGAGAAAGAAGAGGGAGAAAATTATCAAAATCAATCAACACAGGTAGGTGGCACATTGGATAGAGCACCAGCCCTAGAGTCAGAAGGACCTGAGTTCAAATCCAGCCTCAGACACTAGCTGTGTGAGCCTAGGCAAGTCACTGAACCTTGATTGCCTCCCGCCCAAAAAAACAACCAACACATCAAAAAAAAAAAAATCTGATGTTATACGCAATGGACTTCCAATTATCAACATAAGCTTCATTTTCCAAAACATTCCATTTGTTTTTATTTATTTTTTTTTTTGGTGAGGAAATTGGGGTTAGGTGACTTGCCCAGAGTCACACAGCTAGTGAATATCATGTGTCTGAGGCCACATTTGAACTCAGGTCCTTCTGACTCCAGGGCCGGTGCTCTATCCACTGCACCACCTAGCTGCCCCTCTGTTTGGTTTTTAAATATATAGTATGGTATATATGGATTGTAGGAGAACTAAATGAATTAGGTCTTACACTGGGTAGGGGTAAGAGGAGGAAGACAGTGACAGAACAGATAATTGAGACGAGGTTCTCCCCTTCCTCATGCCCCAGCATTACTAACTAACCTAATTATTTTCTCTAAATTAATTTCATTCTCATAGCACCTTCTCCTCCCCCAGTGGTCAAGAAACCACTTAAAAAAAAAGAGGAAGGAGACAAAACTAAGAATGAAGATGGTGCTGGAGCCAAAGCACGAGGTGAAGCGAAAGCTAACATTAGCCCACAAGCCAAAAGCCAAAAGGAGAGTAAGGAAAGGCCTCCAAGTACCGTGGTACGAAGCTCAAAACCAGCCCACAAACCAGAAGAGCCCAGTAGAGAAATTCGTAACATCATCAAGATGTACCAGAGCCGCCCTGCACCAGTGCCTGAACCGATACAGCCCAGCAGGTCGGGGCCTCAGGGGTTACCAGGAATTGGAGGAAAGCTTTCAAAGGATCGGTGGGGAGGCCTCCCTGGGACTGACCCTCTGTCTCCCTGTTCCTTCCCCAGGAAGCCTCAAAAATCTTTCCTAAAGAAGAATGACCCCAAGGATGAGGCCCTGGCCAAACTGGGTCTTGGTGGCAACTATCTGCCTCCTCCGGTGAGCCTCAGGGACTGGGCTCCTGAAATCTCTGGGTTTTACAATTCTGACTTTCTGTTCCTTCTCCTTCTTGGGGAATTCTGTGTCGGGGAGGAGTCCTCCTCCCCATCCCTTCATGGCCTTAGACTGCCTTGTCATCTCGTGGGCTTCTGAGGAAAGGGAAAGGTGCCTAGCAGGCACAGGTCCATGAATAATTCTTCTCAATTTCCTCCTAGGCATCAGCTCTGGGCCCTAAGAAGGACTCACCACCACCTCTTCCAAGTCGGCCCAAGTCCCCCATCTCCATTGAATCTTCTAGTTCCATCAAAGAGAAGCAGAGACCCCTGATGGATTTGTTTGCCCCAGTTCAATCCATGACCTCAATTCCTCAGCTTCCATTATCTCCACCTCCACCTCCACCTCCACCTCCACCTTCCCTCCCACCAGAGAACCCAGCTCCACCCAAGTCAGGTGAGGAAACCCCCATAGACCCATCCTAGTCACTCTTAGTTGTACCCCTCAGGGGTGTTACCTGCATCCTGGGTTTCTGATGACCTTTTTGGGGAGGAACAAGTTTCCAGGTTGTATTAGTCTGACACAGTAGAAGACCTCCGATTAAAGGAGCTCCAAGGGCCCTTCTAACTCGGAGATTTTCTGATTCTTCAGCCTTGTAATTGAATCTGGAAGGTGTCCCTAAATCAAGTTTATTTCCATCCCCAAGTGACAGTCATCTTGAACAGGTGGGGTTTGGAACTGAATAGGGCTCGTTGTTCTGGCTAGAGAGACTTTTATTTTTGAATATGGGAGAGCTGGGCTGAAGCACTGGACGTTGTGAAGGGTGTTATATTGTCACAAGCTAAATCTTCTTCAGGGGTGGATTGCTAACTTTGTTGGTCATAGGGCTGTGGATTTAGAACTATGCCAGGGTAGTGGAGTACACTTGTAATTCCTGCTACTATGAGTTTGGGCTAAAGATGATTGGGTGTCCAAACTAAATCCAGAACCAATAAGGTGAGGCCCTGGAGAGAGAAGGGCCACCAGGTTGATTAAGGATGAGAGAACTGGGAAGTTGGAAAAATGGAGCCAGTAAAGCTTCCGTACTGAGCAGTAGTCAGTGCCTGGATGCAGTCATAAATGATATTGTACTTCCAGCCTGGATGAGACAGGGAGACCCATTCCTTCCCCCCACCAAAAAAAAAAAATTAGAGGTAGAAGGGACCTTAGAGGCCATCGATGAGGAAACTAAGGCAAACAGGGTTAAGTGACTTGTCCAGGGGATCTCACAGCTAGTAAGTGTCTGATGACAGATTTGAACTCTGGTCTTTCTGACTCCAGGCCCAGTGCTTGTCCCATAACCTTACAACACAAGGTTACACAACTTATATAAGTAGAGGCAGGATTTGAACCTAGGTCTTGCTGATTCCAAATTTAGTGCCCTAGCCAATCTAATATGTAAAGGATGGAGGTTAAAGGTTGGAGAGGAACTAAGGAATGATGGACTGCCCCAGGTCCAAGAATATTCTGGGATTTCAGAAGGTTAAGTACAGGAATTTAAAGGATGAGAATAATAGGAATGGAAATCCAGGCATACTTTACCTAAAGTTCAGGGAATTTGTTCAGGGAAAAGATTACAGGGCCTTATTCTGCAGAAACAACATTATAAATGCTTTGGCAGTCATTATGATATTGGATTGGGCCACATTATTTGGAGTGGAGGTGGGTATATCAGGGCTAGGATTGCTGACCTTGAAGGCAATGGAGACAGAGGGTCCCTGGGAAATGAGGCTCTCATCAAGCAATTCTTTCTCCTTTCCCTTAACCTCCACACACCTGCCTCGGGCCGCTCCCGGCTATAGGATGCATTTTCTGATCTCTTTCTACCCCCATCTGCATGGCTCACCACTCTTATTAGTTATTTTTCCCTCTTGAATTTAGTTTGTATTACTTTGTATAGATAGATTTAGTGACAGGGACCTCTGGTTTCATTGGTAAAGGGAACTCCCTTTACCGATGCAATGAAAGTCGGCATCTTCTTGGTAATTTAGTCCTGGAGTTGGTTTCTTCAACTGTGGCTCGAGACCTCACATGGGGTTGCCGAAGGGGTCATGAGTGGAAAAAGTTTAAGAAGCCCTGGAGCACTGAGAGGTTTCAGGGGTGGGGAACCTGCGGCCTCGAGGCCACATGTGGCCAGCTAAGTCCTCAAGTGTGGCCCTTTGATTGAATCCAAACACAGAACAAATCCCAAAAGAAGTTTGGATTCAGTCAAAGGGCCACTCTTGAGGACCTAGAGGGCCATATATGGCCTCAAGGCTGCAGTTTCTAGCTGTTGCCCAGGATCATATAGTCAGTATGTATCTGCAGTTAGATTTGAACTCAGCACTCATTGAATTCAACTGAATTCTCAGAGAGTCCCATCCCCCACTGATATCTCAATTCATTTATTTAACAATCACTTGTTTCTCTTTTTTCTATTAAATTTAATATTTTATTTTTCCACCAATTACATGTAAAAAAAACTTAACATTCTTTTTTCAAATTTTGAGTTCTAAATTCTCTCTCTCCCTCCCTCCCTTCCCCTTTCCCCCATTTTCTGAGAAGGCAAGCAATTTGACTTAGGTTGTAGGTGTGTAGTCATACGAAACACATTTCCATAACAAATGCTTATTTCAACCCATAGTGCTAATCACTGAACATATAAAGATAAACAAATGACAAGGTCCTTCACTTCTATGGTGGGATACAGTGTATATACACAGTTAGGTATCATACAAGGTAGGGAGTGATGGGGGAAGGAAGAAATCCGGACAAAATGCTCTACGAAAATTTGAGAAGAGAGTAAAACACTTCTTTGGGGGGGAGGCAATGGGGTGAAGTGACTTGCCCAGGATCACACAGCTATAAGTGTCAAGTGTCTGAGGCCAAATTTGAACCCAGGTCTTCCTGAATCCAGGGCCAGTGCTCCATCCACTGCACCATCTAGCTGTCCCCCAAAAACACTTTTAACAGCTGGGATCAGGTAAGGCTATAAAAGAGAGGAGACAATTTAGCTGCTAAACCTTGGAAGAGGGAAGGGTTCTGAGAGTGGGAATGAGGCTGGAGAGCCTTCCAGCAAAGGGAATCAATCACTCCGTGCAGATGAAGAGAAGCCCCAAGACTTTATCAGTGGCCCAGTTTGTCTGAAATCAGTGCCAAGTGAAGGATGAGGGACAGTGAGAAATGAGGCTGGAATCGTTGGCTTGGATCAGATTGTGGAATTCCAAGGAGTTTGTTTTTTATCTTGGAGGGCAGTAGGGAGCAATTGAAGGCTATTGATCAGGAGAGTCATGTAGTCAGATCGGCGGCATAGGAAGACTGTATTTTGCTAGTTTTGTTGAAAATGAACTGGAGAGAAGAGAGCCCAGCTCTCCCATATTCAAAAATAAGTCTCTCTAGCCAGAACAATGAGACCTATTCAGTTCCAAACCCCACCTGTTCAAGATGACTGTCACTTGGGGATGGAAATAAACTTGATCAACTAGGAGGCTATTACTACAGTCAGCATGAGAGTAGATAATTAAAGAAAGGGTCATGAGACAGGAACAAAGTGGAAGAGTGAGTTGGGGAGGTGGAATAGATAGGATTTGGCAATTGATTGGATATAATAGCTAATTCTAATGATAGCTAGTATTTATATAGTGCTTTAGGGTTTGGAAAGCACTTTACAAATACTATCTCATTTAATCCTCACAACCTCCCTGGGAGGTAGGTGCTATTATAATTCCTATTTTACAGATGAGGAAACTGAGGTAGACAGAGGTTAAGTGACACAAGCAAGCTGGATCTGAGACTGGATTTGAATTCAGGTCTTCCTGACTCCTGGTCCAGTGCTCTATCCATTGTGTGCCTAGCTACTTCATGGGATTTGGGATGGTGTTAATAGCTAGGTAGTGCAGTGGATAGAGCACTGGACCAGAAGTAAGGAAAGTTCATCTTCCTGAGTTCAAATCTGGCCTCAGATACTTACTAGCTGTGTGACCGTGGGCAAGTCACTTAACCCTGTTTGCCTCAGTTTCCTCATCTATAAAATGAGCTAGACAAGGAAATGGCAAACCATCTTTGCAAATAAAACCCCCAATGGGGTCCCAAAGAGTTGGACACGACTGAAACGACAGCGACAAAGGAAAGCACAGGGTTTTGGAGTCCCTAATGTTACTTTTTCTGACCTCTAGACCCAGTTCTGTCCATGAAGGATGAACATATCAGTACTGAGTTGCTTCATCTCTCAAGCAGTGTTTCCTTTGCTTATGCCAGCACCAGCTGGAGGCTGTTCCTTCGAAAAGAGGTAGGGAGACAGTGGGTCTTTGTTCTTTTCCATGACTGGTCCTGTCCCCTCTTCTCAGTGTTCCTGGCCTGGCCTTCCTGGAGTAAGTAATGGGCTAGGATAGGAGGTGAGGGGGCTAGCCAGAAGTGGGGCCTTCCCATTTCCATCCAGACAAGGGCTCCACTATTCCCTGGGATCCTTTCATATCTCTCTGTACCTCTCACAGGTATTCTACCCCCGGGAGAACTTCAATCACCCCTACTGTTTGAGACTTCTTTGTGAACAAGTGAGTGCTAGTTTTTTAATACCTCACTCCCTGTAAGCTTATCTCAATAACCCTGCACTTCATGACCCTCCAAGTAGTTTCACATTGCCCCAGGCTGCTCAGAATCTCAGCTCTGGTCCCTGGGTCTGTTCTCCCCCCTCACATCCTCCAGAATCCCCACCCCTTTCCTCCGTCCCTTCCCATCTCTTGGCCAATGTCGCTTAAAATCTCTAGTCAATGGGCATATCTGTTTTAATTTAGGTATTGGAGGTAGGGTACATTATGAAGCAATCAGATAAAAACTAATTCAAGTTCTCTCTCCCAGAAGCATTTTCACTTTAAAGGAGGCCATGCTAAATACATTAATCAATGATGGGTAATACTTCAGGCAGTGGCATTAAATGAAACCTAGGCAATAAAGGACCCTTCATATCATTTTTTAAGTCAGGGTCCCAACCATGCCTTCGCATAAGATTGATTTTCGGTTGGTGAAGGGGGAGTGCTAAGAGACATAGAGATAGGTATTGAGAGACACAAAGATTTCCATAGGCATACACAAAAGCACTGAGGGGCAGGGAGACAGGGATCTAGACATAGACAGAGACAGAGCGATGGGGGAACAGAGGTATTACTCTTTAGGAGGCTGGGACTATTGACATTTCTGTCTGTGGTCATTCCTTGGGAGGTTGACTCTCACCCTAGAAGGCCCCATGGTAATGAGACCGTGTACATCCTCAGATCCTGCGTGACACTTTCACCGAGTCCTGTATCCGAATCTCTCCAGATGAACGGAACAAGATGAAAGATATGCTAGGTATAGACACTAGGAAACCTCGGGGTTGGTAGTAGTGGTCAAAAAGATGGGAGAATCTTGTGTTCTAAGCATTGGAGACAAAGTCATATTGGAAGTGGTGAGGAAAATGGTGATGGAGGTATCTGTGGAGATCTCTGGAAAGAGACCTTCCCTGCCATTCAGCAGTAATCTTTGGATCTAAGACCTTGGGTGGTCAGCATGGGATAAGGCAGTTACTCAGAGAGGGAGAGGGATTGTCAAGGAAGATGGGGGAGTAGTGGCCAAATTAAGAGAGTCTCTTGTCTACAGCGGACTTGCAGGTGGGCATGGATGCCAGTTCCATCACTGAAGACAGTATCAAGAAGAGAATTGTAGTAGCTGCCCGAGACAACTGGGACAATTACTTCTCCCGAATCTTCCGTGTCTCGGTCAGTTTGAACCCTACATAGCCCTGGCAGGGCCCTCAACTGGAACTGTGCAGGGTTTTGAGGGAGGGGTTATTCCTTATAGGTCCTACTCTGCCCAAGTACACTTTTTCGCGGCCTTGGAATGTCATCCCATGTTCTCTATCCATCAAAGTCAACCACCATGGTGAATGCAGTGTCCTATGTGCTGGCCATTATGGAAGGGCAGAGGAATAGAAGGACACCTGGTCCCTTCCCTCAGGAAACTCCCAGTCTAACAGAGTGGACATAGTCCTTGCCCTTGGGAAGAAGCCCCTAGTCAGATAAGGGAGACAGGACATAGCTCCTGCTATCAGGAAGGGGCCCATGAGCTTGATGGCAATGACAGAATGAACAGAAGGACATAAACATTGCCATAGCACTCAAGAAACAAAAGTTATGAATTTAGCAGAGTGTAGTATTTCCCATGTCTCCCTTGGCTCTCTCCTCACTCTGTTGGGGGATTTTCCCTCTCCTTCCTCTGTCAACACTGTGACCCTGAATTCCCCTATAGGGGGAGAGTGGCAGTGATGTACAATTTCTGGCTGTGTCTCATCGAGGACTTCGCCTGCTCAAAGCTGTGAACAATGCCACGTTCCTCACAGACCACCTCAAGACCCTCTGCAGCTACAGGTCAGGAAGGGCAGGAGGTGGCAGTAGACACCGGCATCCTGGGAGCTTTCATTTTTCTTAAGGATAAGTTGGGCGTCTCTAACATAGTATCTACCCCCTGACTGATTTGTCCACAGTTTTGCAGAAGTCCTGGAGGTGAAGGCCCAAGGACATAGCGTTCTTCAATTTTCCCTGAGGAATGAGCAACTAATATTGCGCACAACTCAAGCCCAGACCATCAAGTCCATGGTGGAGTTGTTCCTGAATGAGCTCAAAAAAGTGAGTAGGAAGGGTAGAGAGGAGGGGAGAGTTGAAGAAGGGAGGAGGGATCATTGGGGGCAGATTGGGTAACAGCTGTAGATGATGGGGGTACCCAGAGGCTGGACAACAGGTATGGAGGAAGAAGATAGGTGCTTGTGGAGGCCACTGGATCAATAAATAGGTTATGGAATCATCCAATATTTGAAGAGTGCTAGAGGCACCTTAGGCATCACTGAATCCAAATGTTCTTAAAATTATTTTGTCATGGACCCTTTTGACAGTCTGGTGAAGCTTATTCACCATTTCATAGGAAAACATTAAAAAAAATTATAATTCAAGGAAATAACAAATTTCAGTTAGAGGTTAATGAAAATAAGAATGCATTTTTTTTTTCCATCCAAGGTCATGGACCCCTTGAAATTTATCCAGGGATCCTCAGGTTAAGAAGCCCTGAGTTAATCCAGCCCTCTCAATATTTAGGTCTTGGGGTCCAACAGTTTCCCTAGTATCTAATACTTTAGATTTAGTTCACCCTGCAGCAAAGATATTCAGGGGGCACATTTGGTTGCCTTTAAATATTTAAAGGCTGACATGTGGAAGATGGATTAGAGTTAGCTCTCTTTAACCCTGGAGAGCAGAATCAGGAGGCTGGATGGAAGTTGCAAAGAGGCATACTTAGGGGCTTTAAAAATGCTTGTTGATTGATTGCTAAACAATGGGGATACAAATACAAAATGAAGATGATCTCTACCCTTGAGGAAGTTTCATTCTAAAGGGGGAAGACACATATAAGGGCAGTGGTGTTTAGAAGAGTGTTTTGTTTTTCCTTTTTTTTTTTGGTGAGGCAATTGGGGTTAAGTGACTTACCCAGAGTCACACAGCTAGTAAATGTCAAGTGTCTGAGGTCGGATTTGATCTCAGGTTCTCCTGACTCCAAGGCCAGAGCTCTATCCACTGCGCCACTTAGCTGCCCCCTAGAAGGGTGTTTCAATCTGAGAAGGTAGAGAGGGATGGTGAGTGGAAAGTGATAGGAAATCTAAGATAGTGTTGGCTTGATCAACGTTTCAGAGCAAGAGATGGAAGGGGTGTGGTAGGGAGGGTGACTGTGGCTGCAGGTGAAAAAAAGAACATGGTAGGGTCTGGGTCCAGATAGGTCTAGGGAAATTTAATTACTCAGGCCAGATGAGCTCCAAGGTAGAAGTTCCAAGTCTTCCAGGGCCTAGTCTCTAGGGACTTAATACTAATTAAGAAAAGTAAAGCATACTGTCACAGCAGCAGCAGTGTAAGAAAAAACCTCCTAACAAGTTGTTCAGTCATTCGGTCCAACTATGTTTTCTTGGCAAAGATAACTGCAGTGGTTTGCCATTTCCTTCTCCAATGTGTCCCCATGGAACTGAGGCAAACAGAGGTTAAGTGACACACACTTAGCAAGAGTCTGAGGCCAGACTCAGATCTTCCTGACTCCAGCTGGGGTGTTCTATCTATTGCACCAACCTAGCTGCCCCACATAACAAACAGAGCTATTCAAAAATGGGCTGCCTGGGGAGGTGGTGGCTCCTCTCTTACAGGAGGTTTTTAAGCAAAGGCTGCATGATCACCTGTGTGGTATATTGAAGCTGGGACTCTTTCTCCAGTATGGGATAGACCACATAGCCATGCGAGTACCTTGCAATTCAGAGCTCCTGTGATTCTATGGTACAACTCCAAACAAGGAAAGGAGAAAACAGCCTAAGCAAGTTTATCTTTGGCATGGAGAATAGGGTAGGGGTGAGGGTGGGCAGTCAGGTACTAATTAGGCACCTCCTATGTCCCAGGATCCTTTCCTGCTCGCTCTTAATGTGTCTCGCTTCTGTTGACTATTTCTAATTTACCTCATACAGCTTGTTTGTACTTAGTTGTTTTCACATTATCTCCTCCATTAGACTGTGAACTCCTTGCGAGCAGGGACTGTCTTTTGCCTTTGTATCCCTAGTGCTTAGCACAGTGCCTGGCACATAGTAAGCACTTAAATGCTTATTGCCCTGACTTGACTGGCCAGGCCCTGTGCTGGGGGCTGAGGACACAAAGAAAACTAATGGGACCAGTCCTTCTGCCCTCCAAGGGTTTACATTTTTCAGCAGGGAGAAAGGGCCAGGGGACAACCTGTGCACTTACAAATATATGCAAAATTTAAGCATATTTAATGTAAGTACAAGGTGATTTCAGGAGGGTAGCACCAAAAGCTAGGGGAAGGTCTCATGCAGGACACTTGAGTTGAGCTTTGAAGGGAGTTGAGAGATCGTAAGAACTGGAGGTGAAGACTAAAGCACAAGGCTGAGGGAGCAGTCAGGCAGAGAACACATTCCTTTACTCCACCTGCTTCTCCCTCTACAGGACTCAAGCTATGTGATTGCCCTCCGGAGCTATGTCACTGATGACCGAAGCCTCCTGAGTTTCCGCTGTGGAGATATTATTAAGCTGCTGCCCATGGCCTCCCTAGAACCAGGTATACATTGATTTGCCCTGCCTGGATGCAGAGTATGTTTTTGTTTGGTTGCTTTTTACTTGTGTGTGACACTTTGTGACCCTGTTTGGGGTTTTCTTGGCAAAGATACTGGAGTGGTTTCCTTCTTCAGCTCATTTCACAGATGAAGTAACTGAGGCAAACAGGGTTAAGTGACTTGCCCAGGGTCACACAATTAGTAAGTGTCTGAGGCCAGATTTGAACTCACAAAGATGAGTCTTCAGGCCTGGCATTCTATCCACTGTGCCACCTAGCTGCCCGATGCACAGCACAGGGAAGGATATCATCTTTGTTCGTTGGAACGGAAGGGAGGATACTTAGACCACGTGGGCTGAGGACAGGAGTTGAAGGTGGTACCAGTCCTTTGGCTGATGCAGTGAGTTGGGTGGCATTCAGGGCCAGAACGCAGGTTTGGCATCAGATGCCTCCGTGCTCTAGCCCCAGCACTGCTTCCATTTGACATTTGCAGGGTGGCAATTTGGCTCCATCAGCGGTCGATCTGGGCTCTTTCCTTCTGACATGGTGAAAGTGGCTGCTGTGCCTGACTATTTCACCTTCCTCAAGGAGCAGAAGGATGGGCGGCAAAGGAGTCTTCCAAGAGGAGAAACAGGATTGCCTCCACAGAACCGGGCCATGGAGGTGAGGGAGCTTGGAGGAACTGACAGGCTGAGGCATAACTAGCAATTCCTGAACTTTGCCAACACTATGAACACCACCCTCTCCTCCTGAGACTATCTTGGCCTGAATTCACAAAATCAAGTCCTGAAAAAAGGAATTTTTTCTTCTCTCTCTTGACCCACCTGGGGTAACAAAATCATACAACTCCCAGTCAGCTGAGATTGACTAAGCTCACACCTACTCTGTGTAGAGACCAGGGCTTGGTGCTCCAAGGAACAGGGAAGGAATCAAACACATAATCCCTGCCCTCAAGTAGCAGGATGACCTCATTGCAATTGGGGAGGGGGATTTGTGACTGGAACAGAGCTAAGCACTTTGCATCTGATCCAATAATATTTTATCAGAACATAAATGTAGCCGAACCCTGGGTTATCAAATGCTTCCTAGTCTTCTGTTGCCTGCGTCTTAACTCACCAACTAGACTGTACGCTCCCCAAGAGCAGGGAAACTGTTGGCCTGCTTCTCTTGTGTCTTGCACAGAGCCTGGCATGGTGCCAGGGAGTTGCTCAATAAAAGCTTCTTTGGCTTGACTGACTTCTGATGTTGTACCCTATGCGGCTGCACTTTAGGCATCTGCCTCGTTATCCTGTGGGGTAGGATGGGGACAAAGACAAACGTGATTCCGGTGTTCAGAAACACAGTACCACTGCTAGTGGCCAAACAGAACAGGCCAACCGCAGTGACTGGGTTAACACTGTTTCCTCTACCTTCAGTGTGAACACACCCCCACCCAGGCACCCAGTGAGTCCTCTGTGGTGACCAGCTCTGTCTTCTCGGATGTCAGCTCCACTCTGTCTGCGGGTACCAGCACTTACGCCATGTGGGAGTATGCCCAGAAGTACTTCCGGCCAATACAGACCTCGTAAGTGCCCAGTCTAGGTGGGATCCATACCCACGTGAGGACTCTGTGCCTGTCTCTGTGGGTTGGTCATGATCCTCTGCCCAAACTCAGCTGCTCACCTAACTCCAAACAGCACGAACAAAGAGAGGGTGCCTGATTTCCCCCAGCCCCCAAGGCCTCTGACTAGTCCTCAGCGTCTCCTTCCTGTGAAGACCTAACTAGGCCTTGTCTTTAATCCAGGGAGGGCTGGATGGTATCAAAACATCATGCCAGAAGCCTGGTGCAACATACCAAGGTAAGGGGTCAGGGGTGAGAGGGAACCTATCCCCTTCCTGAGTGATCCCTTTCAGACAACTTGCATGGAAGGTGGACAGATCCAGACTCTACAGTCTGTTGCCTTTCTGGACTATTGCCCCACGTTCACTGCCCAAACAACTCTGACCCTCAGACTCCCATCCAGAAATCTCTTACCAACTTACCTGACGAGGAGCTGAACAAGCTAGCTGTGCAGAACTTCAGGGGTAAGTCATCTATGATTGTTGTGGGCATACCTTGGGCAAATATATTTATTAGCTGGCAGCTAGGTTTGTGCTCTCGAGTGTCTAGGACCAGGACTCCACTCCTTTCCTCCTTGAGTCTCTACTCCCTGCCTACCACAGTATTACCCATGTGTATGGTTCCCATGGCTCTTAGTCACTCATATCCGGACCTAGAACTCCAGGTACCCCCACCTAGTCTCTCCCTCTCCCCGGCACACCCACCTAGCTTTCTCTACTTACCTTCTCCCACTTTTGTTCTGCAGCTGTGATGCAATTTATGGGTGATCAGTCCAAGAAGAAAGATGAGTTGGATACACCATTTGAGATGCTGAAGGTGAATATTGGAGCAAGAAGTCCAGGGACACAGCAGAGCCCTTTAGCACCTAATTCTGCCATGCCCAAGGACTTGAATTGAATCCTATGCCCCACAACTCTGGCCCTTTTTCTGATTTCCACCTTCCTATCCCCAATCCCAGAATCTGTACCCTCCCCCTTCCCCAACCTTTCTGTCCTGATACAAGTCCTCAACTCTTTGGAA